AAGCAGAAGTACTTAAGTGAGTTTGTTAGTCCAATGTATATATGATATATTAAACCTGGTGCATGCTTGGATCAAATCCCACACTTGCAAAGCTTGTTTATCAGTATTGTTATTAAACCTTTAATAAAAACCCAAGCATTGTTCGAAAGTATACAATAATTAAGTAATTAAACAGGATTAAAACAAGGATTTTCTTTTTGAAGTCACTTTTGGTTTGCAAATTATTTTAATGAAGAAGTCACATTGATAAGTTTGCTACACCTGGCAAGCGCTGAGAGTGAGTATTAAAATCAATCAGGCATTCTCAAGTAGAACTGTTGGAAGTGTATAGTGATTAGTGCTAAGAGGAATATGGAAGGGAGACTACAAAAACATGGATTACAGTAAATAATTAACAATGGAAAACTATTAAATTATATTGCATGAAGAAAAATTCTTCAGAGCTTTCAACCAGAAACTGTCTAAATAAACACAAATAAGCCTGGAGCATAGCAGTTAATCCAGTGGGTACAATTATAAACAATTGCAGTTTAGCACAGCTAATAAAAGAAATAATAGAGCCAGAGTAATTATCTTATTAAATTCCTGCATAAGACTGTTTTTTTCTTTAGTTTTCAACTGTTGCAGGATAAAATAATATCGCTGTACATGTGGTAAAAACGTTATTTTCCATGACTAAGATGATGCAAAGCTTTTATCACAATTAAGAGCACAAAGATTTTTGAAATACATCTCAGCAAATTTAGACTATTGCACTAAATATTTAACACATAGAGCAAGGTTAATTTGAGCACACTGTCTTATAAATGTTTAGTAATAAACTAAATTGAGTTTCACAAAGTTGTTTTGTCAAAATATATTGATATGATTCTCATTATACCTACATTCTTAGAGAGGTAATTCGGTTATGTTAGTAACAGGCAGATTGTCTTTAGAATCTGTCAATGGTCTTTTCTCTTTAACAAGGAAATATCTTCTTTTTTACAGAATTAACATTGATTGCAATAAGGAATTGGATTCTTGGACTCAATTTTATTTGCATCACAAGGATTTGTAAAAAATTAGACAACATTTGGTTACAGAAAAAAAACACTTTTCAACGTTGCAACATTTTGTGACATAAAGTAAGCTATTTTATAACACGGTGAAACCATAGATGAAGTCTTGTGACTGCTATACCAAAAGGGCTGAGGATACTGTCAGAACACTAACTCGCAGCCTTTTCACCCATGTGTTTTAAATAAATGAAAAGCTAAACAACATGCAAGAAGGACACTTCACTGCAGAAAAAAAAGAAATGAACAGATTCTGCATAATGAATGAATTTAAGGTATTCCCTTTGTTGTACCATAGGATGAGACATTGTGAATAGTATGCAGTGCCAAATAATGAAAAATTGATTGTGACTGAAGGATGTTTTGCGCTTGTCTGTTCTATGGCACTGAGATCTGTTGTACAGTGATTAGTACATTGCTCCGGTGCTCCCGGGAGTTTGAGCCAAACAAAAACATTCCAGACAATGAGGTGTTAGAAAAGGATAACTCAATTAAGCGTTAGGCTTCTCCTTTTGAATGGTGACAATGTGGAATGTGACACTTTGCCATTAGACTTCACAGAAGAGGTGTTACAGGTGCCGCTTCTAAAATGTCCTTTCTAATACTCTGCAAAATGGATTCGTGAACGGGTTTGTGTTTGGTCTATGATTGGTGACACCATGCTTACTAAGAAAAAGGCAAAACATTGCTTTAAAGTTGAGTCAAAACATTAGTAAAGTTTTATTCAAAGGTTTTATCAAAGCTGTATGAAGGGCTGGTGCTTTTACAATGATTCTTAGTCGCTTCACAGTGGACCTTTTCTTTAATGCAAAGCAGAACCCCAGCTCTGGTAAAAAATGAATCTTAGCTGTTCACCAAAGTACTAATGAAAGGGCCCCAATCAGTCAAAGCTGGGTCATCCAATTTCTTGACACCAACAGTCCCTCCATTAAACTGATGAAGCACAAAATAAAAAGTGATCTGTCAATGGGTCCATCATACTCTGTGACAGGGCATGATGAAGATCTTGCAGCTCTCAAATGAGCCATCTACACTAAAGTACTAAACTAATGACCTGTCTGTAGAAGGACAGTTCATCTGTGACATTGGTTTTGGCCTAAGTGCTACCTGAAAAATTGTTGATCAATCCATTTATCCTGTCCAGCCCATTACAAGCCATCAGATGCTTAGAATAAGTGACACTTGGAGATATTAAAGTAACCAAAGGGTTAGGCCATTTTGGACATCTTCTGCTTTTACTTCTAAATGAATAGAATTAGATATCTCATACAAGAGTTGAGAATGCTGTCTCATAGGACATTTAGTATCATCTATGCAATTATAATAGTCATTATTAGGGGAAATGTACAGATACAATGCTGTAATAAGGCAAGATGTGTGTAATGTGTAATGCAAATTTGTACTGTACAGCAATCTTCAACGCCATTTCTGTGAAATATGTGGAATTATCAAAAGCATTGATCAAAACAGAATTTGAAAAGCTAACATAAATGAAAATGATTTTGTTTTGTATCAATAGTCTGCGCAATGTAAAATTATTGACTTTCTTTAAATAATCTAGTTACCTTTTAAATTGCTATTTATTTTGTGAAATGTACATCTCACATATTATTCCATAAAATGTAAAAATCGTAAAATGTAAAAATTACGAATAAACATTCAATTCAATTTGTCCAACAAAATCTTTCATTAATTTTTAAAAAAATCAGCCGTGCTATCATTCCAGGTTTGAAAATCCTGTACCCATCAGTACTTTCTTAAAGCAATTTAAATATCTGATCACACCATAAGTAACACAATACATCTTTTTTGAAAGTGTGCCGCTTAATGTATGTCCAAAATATTCAGTGCAGTCAGTGTCACTGTTTTCCATTGTAGACAGATTCTCAAGACAGTCTTGGCACTTTTTATGACAGACAATCCAATCTCCAGATGTTAGTGGCAACTTCCCAGGTAGACTTCCAAACAATTTTTTTGGAAACAATGATTAAATAATTTATTCAAAATATTTTCTGCAAAGACTTACTTTTCTTCCTCCAGTGCTAATTATGTACTGTAGTAATTCTGAGCCATTACAGTTGGAACTAGTTTCAGCCTCCACTCTTAATGTACAGTGCATTCATGCAATCATGCAAATTGGACATTTTTTGCCAAAGTGTTGACTGCATCCAGGCTTGGAAAGTAGGCCAGAATTACTTCTGCTTGGTTATACTCAATGAAGCGTAGCTCAGAGTTCTTTTTTTAAGGAGCACACATACTGAACTCGCATGAGGAATGTGAAGGTGGGCAGATGGAGATGAATTTTTACTTCTTAATGATGTTTTTCTTCCATGTGTGTTTGTGGGCACTTTTTGAATCCTGCATATCGTTAAGCCAACATTAAAAAGCAGCTTTGAAATTTCTGTTTTAAGGACGTTATTGTTTTATTCAAAACCTGAATAAAAGACGTTACGCCAAGTTAAAAGGATGTGCTACAATTTTTAAAAATAAAAACATATCTGTAGTATGCAAAGGAACAAGTAATAGCATTATTCCATGCTGAAAAGAGAAGAAAGAAAACACACTGTTTCTTTGGGTGTGAGGTGTTTTCTTTCTTCTCTTTTCAGCATGGCATAAACCTATTACTTGTTCCTTTGCAGCCTACACATGCTGATGCAGCTACCCACCTGAACTATCTATTGTATGTACGTTTTTCCTTTCCACCACTTATTTCATCAATGAAGAGTGCATCTGGTTTCCTATTGGGAATTCATTTGTCTTCTGAGATCACCTGCTATTGTGTGAAGTAGATTGAAGGAAATTGAATTTTGATTATTAATCAGAATACATTGAGCTCAGATTTTGGACTGCTATCTTCTTTGGAAATAGTATGCTGTTAAAACAGCTCCCCTTGTATATATTACATGTAATTACAAGTCATGTCAATTATATTTACAACCCCCCCAAAAAAGCTTCACAGCTGTATCATTTTTTGCAATTTTTCTTGTTTCTTTTATTCAGCTTGGACTTAACCTCTGTTGGATCCTTTGCAGGCATGTAGACGTGACTATTTTACTGTATATTCTCACACTTACATGCATTTTGTTTTAGGAATTCAGAAATGCCCCCTTTCTATATCATTTCTCATATCATCTGTATTATGCTGGAAAATTGTATTTGGGTGTAAGCGATATGAAATTATAGCAGACAATTTGGTCTCCTCCCTATCCTGGGACATAGATTTCCTGGGAAGCTCTCTCGGAGGATTTGTCAGGGATAACCCTGCAGTGCGTGCTACATGGGTTTCGTGTTTGGTGATTGGTCAGGCACTATTAATGGAACAGGGGCAGACTGCATAGCAGGATTACTCATCTCATTCGCTCAATGTGTGAGGATATTAGAGGGCACCTCCACAAAGGAAAAAGATTTGTGTTACTTAGATATTTATGTATTTGCATGTATCTGTATTTGGTATGCACTGAACTTACAGTATATACATATACATGTATGTGAAATACAGGTGATATAGACTTATATACAGTGCTACAGTATAAATGTTCATCTGCACCACTGATTAATCTTCTAAGCCTATAGTATGTACTAAGAGACCCACACGTTTCTGTAGTTGCCTTGTGTTGGGTCTCTGGTGGACTGCTCAGCTCTAGAACAGTTTGATTGCATTTTTATGGTCTTCAGATATTTAATAGCTTCTTCCTGTCATTTTCTGAATGAGTGAATAAGGCTTAGCCCTCTGGGAGCTGGCTCTACTTCTCAAAGTGCAGAAAACGGCAACTATGAGTGTACTTGACTGATTGCCTTGGTCTTAATTGTTCTCTTAATTAGCCACAGCACCACTTGCAGCCAGGGAGATATTTGCAGTACTGGTAAACAGCTCCACCTTGGAGTATTGCTCAGTGCCTCTCGGATACATGACAATAAGCTTTGAACACATTCTGCTCCCCACAGAGACAAAGAGCTGCCAAGTCTTCAGCCCTCCTGTGCGTCTGTTTCCTCCATGTGATCTGTCACCACACGGCACCGGAACGGCCTTTCTGGGACTGCTTCTTAAAGGTGAATAGGCACATTAAACACAGCACTTACAAATGTTTTATTATTAGTAGCATTTGTTTTTTGAGATGTTAACTGATAGAGGTAAGATACTCGAAGCTATTTCAATGTCTTGCTCTCAAATAAGATCCAGTCAGAATTTTTTTTTCCTGCTTAAGGGTGGTATCTGCGTGGGCTAATGAATTATGGCAAAGGCATGGGAACTATTTTATTTTATTTTTGTCAAAGCACAGCACAGGTTTTCAAGGCTGAGAAACCTGCACTACATCAGCCATTTCCCAGCAGCTGTCTCTCATTACTTTATTTTTCCCTTTGATATTTTTTCCCCTTGTGTTGCTGTTGGTTAAACCTGCAGAGGAAACATTATCCCTTGTTTTATACAATAGGGTTTCTCTTCCAGAAAACAATCATTAGAATTATAAGGCTACAATGCTTTTTTTTCCCGTATTAAAGAGGGCAAAACATACTTAGTTCATGCTGCTACAGGAAAAAAAAAGTGAGTTCCACTGGAGAATGATTAGGCATTTGTAGAGTAAAGAAAAACCGTAGTAGACAGAGAATCCGGGTCACACTACATGTGTGTGTTAGGTAAACATCACAAGTAAAATGTCATACAGGCAACTACATCATAATCTAATTTCCTCTAAGGCTTTTGTGTGGAGTAATACTGTTTACCTTACATAGGTGCTACTGCAGCTTATTATGTGATATGAGAATGCCACCCCTACTGTCATAACTTAGTTTCAGTCATCTGCAAGTGTAGCACTTCTCTGGGTCATGCTCCATCATGTACACGGTGTTGTAGATGTATATGACATATTGAAGAGAACAGCCAAAAGCATAGAATGTCTGACTGTGCACATAACGCACAACACCAGAATTAGATAGTGAGGACAAAGTCTCATTTCTATTATTCCCATCGCTAATTCCAATCATACAGTACATGTTTCATTTCACTGGTTAATACCAGCATGGACATTTTTTATCATGCTTCGCCAATTTCAGAAGAGCCCCTGTTCCCTGGGCAGGTGGATAGGTCAGAAAAGGACTGTTTCAGACTCTGTTACTTGTCCTCTTTTTCACAGTCATGCTGCCTCTTCAATTGTGTTGGCCACTTTGAGAGCTCAGTGGACAATTGATAATGTGATGGAGAATGGAAACCAATGGGATGTGAATGAAAGTTTAGTAGTATAGAGATAACTTTGATAGTTACTTGGTACTGAGTGCACTGGCTGTACATTTGCCCACTAATGATGTTTTATTGCTTGTGCACACTGCTTTGTATCTGCTCTTCCTCAAAATACTACCAGTGAAATCCATTTACTGCTGCTCAGCTACATTTTCTACCCTTTAAATTTTGTTTCTAAATTAAATACACAAGGATATTATGCAGTACTCATTGTATTAATATGAAAGATAAGATCTAACTCAAAATAATGTGAATGGTCATGCATTACATTAAACTCTGACATACAGTAGGTTTTCATTTCAAGTCTGTTTTTTATGGTTTGTACTAGAAAGTAGAAAAAAGCTGAAAAAACCTAGCAGATATCAAGAAAAAAGTCCACCTGAGCTAATAAAACATGAGAGGTGATACAAATGTTTCATATCTCCTCAACTGTCTCCTTATATATGTATTCATCTATATTGTCAGTACTGTTAAAAATATTTTCACAAAATACATTTACATTTGCTCTTTTATAATGATCACGACAGTGTTGTTTTCAATATAACATGAGTTGTATATTAACGCAATTACAGTTATTTCTCTACAGATGCAATGTGTTAAGAATCTATTGTACATGTTGTGATATTTCCATTCTGAAGGTTAAAAGTAGACTGCCTTGGGGCCATATTTAATATTTGATAAGCAAAAGAAAGGATGTAAACAACTGTCAATTTCTTGCTTTGCAAAAAAGGTTACAGGACTGACTTGTTGTATTGAGTGTAGCCAAACCTGCTGATGAACAATTTGTCCCCATCTCTCGGCAATGTTGGGATTTCATTGATAAATACTGTATGATTACGTAATGTGAAATTAAACTTCTAAAGGTACATTCTGGATAATTAATATGTAGTGCGTGCAGTATCGTCCTTTTGAACTGTCATGATGCAAACAAGGCCAAGTGAAAGAAAAAATAATGAAGTGTTCTATAAGATTCAGAAATGTTTCCACATTGCAAGAAATTGCCCTGTGTTCACTTAAAAAAGAGTGGAGCAACCAGGATGTCAGTGCCAACTTAGAACAAAGCAACTGTAGGTAGGCAACCCATATGCAAGGCCAAACAGAATAGTTCAGCATAAATTTGTTTTCCACATATGAGGGTGCCCTCACAGCTATAAAGGGCTATCTACTATAATTTCCTTATAAATGATGGAGAAACGTCTTGGAATTAAAACACAATACACCTTGATCAGCTATAACCAAACGATGAATTTATCACACTGCGAATGAGCAGTCCCATTCAATGTGTAATTATTTAGGCACCATTTTGGGTTAATTATTGTCATTAGCATCATGTGTTCTAAGTGAGTGCATAATTTAAGAAGAGCACAGATGAGCTTTCAGACGAGCAAATCATTTGGTAGTGGAAATTGACGGAAAAACAGCAGGGAAACAGCCAAAATGGGAACAATTATTTTAATGATCTGACAAACGCATATGCTGCAAATTAGATTTAGTTCATAGCTCCCCTACTGGTTGCTGCGTGAAAACATTTAGCGGTGGTTCCTTAACTCTGGAAGCTGCTAACTTATGCACTGTGTTTAAATTAACAAAAAAGAAAAAAAAACACATTTCACAAGTTCACATCTTATAGCGTGTGAGAAGTAGGTGAGCTATACAGAAAGTATAGAAAAGATACTACCCAAGCACAATTCTACACATCTTACAGAACAAAATGTTTTAAAAAGACGTAAAGTGTTGCAAAAAGCTTTTTTGAAGAGAGAGGCTATTTAGTCATTAAGTGTCCTGTATGATCTGTGGGCCACAAGGTCATGGAGGAAACTGATATGATCTAAAAATAAAATTCAAGTCTAGAAAATCTCACTGATACATTTGTATTTGTAGCACGAAATGAACTGAACTGATGTGCTCAGGCTTCTGTTACCTTACTGCATGACATCACAGCTGGCGAAAGTAGAGTTACCATAACTTTGCTACTGAATAAAACTGAATCAGCACCACAAATTATTTCCAGATTTTCACACACAGTAACTTATTGTTGGGAGGGAATTGTGCATTCAAAATATACTTGTCATCTGTGTTTTGCTTATGGGTATGGAACGTCATACCTCCTGTACCAGCGAATCTGTGAAGAACAGGTTAGCTGTCAAGATTTTTCATCTGCTGGTGGCAAAATTAGCTGGAATTAATCACTTACCAAAGCTGCCAGTCATTTGGCTACCGTCCTCACTGCTGTTTTCTTATCCGTAGGTGGTGAAAATGAGGGACAAGAAACTCTAACATCTGGAAAAGGCAGCCCTTTTTTCCCTGATTGGTTCGCAGAGATTTATTTTAATGTTTTTTCTTTTTTTATGTGCTGAAAACAGGGTGCGTGATCAAACGCTAAATTATCTGAATCACTTTATTAGCTTCAGAGCACCATTTAGACTTACAGTAGAAGCAAATCTGTTGGACATGCAATCCCGTTTAATTAGAAAACAACTTTGGTAAATTAAGTGATTTAAAAAAAAATGTCAATGCTTTTCTAAAAAAGATAGTTAATTTGTTTTAATTTGCCTAGATAATTACCATGTAAATTAGCATTCCCTCTAGGTTTTCCAGTAGTTAGCAATTTCCACTATTTTACTCAGAGCACAAAAACACAGATGTTATTAAAAATAAAAACAGGAGAGGTCTCACTGGGGTGTTTGTGGCTAGTTATGAAAGTGTTTGCGGATTATTTCTTTCTTTAGAAAAAGAAATGCACTTGTGTGAATGAGTGTAGCAGAACAGTATAAAAATAATTGTGTACCACAGAATTAAACACTGCAAGGGGAACTTTGACATTCTCTCTTCTGTGAAGCACAGCAGCGTGAGGAAAAAGCTTGTTAAAATCCTAATAGTAGCTATCAAAGGATATTGATTATCTTTCCCGCCCTGCATCTGTGACAAACTGAGCATTAATCTCAGTCCTGTGCACAGGGGCTCTTAGGACACATTTCCACCAGGATAAAGACTTCCCTAAGGCAAGAAAAGTGTAAAATAAACAGACCCACGAGCTTTCTCTTAGCCAGTCCAGCATCCCATAATCCACTTTAGTTGTGTGGATCAAACATTCTATTGAGCTGCCTGGAGGCAGCACTGGCACAAGTACTGGCTCTGAAACACCCAGGAGGGGCACACTCTCATTCTACTGCCACACTTCATTGGTGTAAATGCTTTATAATTCAGACATTTGCAATACTTCCAATGGAAACAACACGGAATACATGTACTTTCTAATATTCCTATATTTCACTTATTATTTCAGTTATCACTTGACTGTTTCTTTATGACTTAATAAATGCTAAAAGAAACTATTTGGGCTTGAGTTTAAAATATTTGGGATTTTTTATTTGATCATTTAATCATTTTATTTCTAATTTGATCATTTAATCATTTTATTTCTATAACTCTTGTCGTTTTAGATAGCTTATTATTAATAACCATTAATTAGAGACATAGTATCGTTTGGGAGATGTGCCTTGTAACAATTAACCAAACTTGCCACAAGTACCTGACAAACAAAAGGATGCAGCGAGAGCCACTTTTTTAGTTTTCTTCTTATTTGAGTGCTCTACATGAAGTAATATTTTTATATTGAAACAATTGATATCCCATAGCAAACTATCACATAGATTTCCTGATAATAATTCTGTATGTTTTCTGATAATTCTATGGCATTTTTAAGAGTATGTGAAAAGGACTTTATTTAGAAATAGTTTGTACTGTAAAGTCACTATGAGCAATAAAAGACACTTGTTTTATGGTTAAATATCCATAAAAAAAATATCTTCAAGATCTCGTAATGTTTGCCTTTCTAAACTTGTGAAACCTTTCAGATGAGCCAGCACACATGATTTAAACAGGTAATCCCTGCTCAATTCCTGATCTGAACATGAAGCAACACATATCTACTGCTACTGTATGTGGTCATTAAGGCCTGGACTGTCCACTATAGACCCAGTACCACTCCAGTTAAAGATGCTCAAGAGCCAGTAAATACAGTACATGTACATGCCTGCCACTAGCTGTGTCCTACAGGCCTACTGTCTCTCAGGTATCTTCCACTCTGCAAAGGTTTAGATAAAGGTTTATTTCCTGTTGAAAAGAAAAGAGACTCGGCATTTCGGCTGTGGAGCCTTCTTCAGGTGTGAAGAAGGCTGAAGACCTGAAGCTGACGCAGCTCCCTATTTGAAGTTCTGTCTCCCAGTCTGCCAGAGTAGAGTAGCTCAGCACACAAGCAGGTGAGCAAAAGGATCAGTCTTGTGACCCAGCAGGTTTGTAGCTCCTTGCTTAAAGTTACTCTACATCACCATTACTGTTTCATCGGTGTTACACAGAGACAAGAGCTGAAGTGCTCATCAAAATGCTCCTTACTTTGATCTTGATATAAAAGACTGTGAACACAACTTAAAAATCTGAATTATAATAAATATTATGTAACACAAAGCCACACCTCATCTAGTTTTAAACACCTTGTCTAGCTGTCTCTAGGTTTATTTCTGTCGGAAGGTTTGCTTTAAATTGTATTTCTTTGGGAAAGCCAAAGAAGACTGAAAGATCTTAGTGCTATACTGTACCTGAAGAGTACATCTTTAATAAGTTAAATATGTTCATCAGACATGATAAAAGCCTACATCATGTATAAAACATTATGAAATGGTGATGGAAGACCCGCATAGCGAATTATCAGTTTTAAGCAGGAAGGTCTGTCATGGATGCAATAAAATTTTTTATATGTGTACATGTTAATCATCATGCAACAATTCCACACACATGAGAATGATAAAATCAAGCTAATTTAATTTGCATTTCTATAAATCTCACTTGTCTTAAGAGTTGAACCTATTCCCAAGTTCTTAAGTCATTTGTGTATTAACTAATATCGATTCAAACACCATGCAACATTTAAAAAAAAATACATTTCCAGTTGAAAAATATTTAGCTTGAGTGATGTGACAATTTTTGTGAACTTCTGTCAAGATCAATGCCTATAAATTATTTAATAGTGGTCCTACTTTTGTAGAATTATTTAAAGTATCATAATTGCAGCTCAGCTTCCCAGACTTCATTTTCAAGTCAGGATTTCTATTGGGAGCGATCATAATCACTGAACAGTATAATGTTACAGCCTAGGTATAAAAATATCTTCTTAATGACTGGAAAATTGGTGAAAACCATTGACCTGAATCTAGACCAAACAGAAGGCAATATTTTTCAAAGGGGAAAGAAAACTGAGTAAATTGTCACCATATTTCTGTTCCCTGCTCCAGGACAAAAGATAAAATACTTTTGGGGGTTCCGCTTGTTCTGTATTGTTGGAATTTCTTAAGATTTGTTTCAAGCTCAGAATAGGTTAGGATGTGATTTTACATAGTATACACATATGACAGAAATTAGCGTATATATCCAAAAATAATATTAGAATTAAACTTTTAATGTCTTGTCATCACTAACACAATTCTCTGTTTATTGCCATATTGCTTTTAAGTGTGGGGCTGTGATTCATAACGTAACTTGTCTGTTTTAATTTCCTAACCTAATAATCTATTTAGGGGAATGAGATTTTGTGTTTTTGTCATTATCTACCAGAGCCTAAATCAAATTTTAATTATGACTCATTGACCAGAATATAAACTGAAACTTCACAATTCATCATTAATACGTAATAAAAATACTAGCTAGAAAAATGAACTGAATTATATTTAACCAACGCACCCTATTGTTTTGGATGTTATAGTATATATTATCTCAATAAAGGTTATAGCTATATTGTTCCCTATAAGGCATATTAAACTCTGGTGGGTGGGGATCCAAGCTTTTGTGAAAAGATACAGACAACATGATAAACCTCTTTTGGCACAACTATCATTTGAGGCGGATAGATTAGTCTGCAGTTTGCCAGACAGCCCTGAAATGGAGACAGGAAGTGACTGGTGGAGATTGTATGAGGGAGACACATTGAAATGCAGGCAGGAAGTGCAGCATTAGTCAGGTCTGCACATCAGACATTAGGAGAAGTGACAGAATCTGTATTGATTGAGATGTGTACAAAAGAAGCATTAAAAACCTGAAGGGAAGCCAAAGTCAACATTTTGAATCTGAGCTTCCAGATGCAAAGGAGTTGTGAAACGTTTGTATTAAGTTTGTTTTACTGTACGTAAATGAAAAGCCTGTATTCCTTTTAAGATAAGGATGTGCCTACACAGCTGTGTTGTCCTACAGTATACAAATTAGAAGTGGACCTGACCTGAAATCTGAAATGTAATATACACTCTGACTGAAAGAGTTTCTTTTAACTGATCAAGAAATAGGGCACAGCGATATGATGTGTGATTCACATCGTGACCATGATTATTAATACTTTATTAACAATAAAACATTAATATTCAATAGTGAAGTATGTAGTTATAAAAAATGACTGATTTCCCATAATCTTTTCACAATGAAAAAATCACATGAAAGTTAAAAAGGATGTTACTGAATATTTCTTATGTAGTTTAAACATTTCGGATTGTGTTTGTGAAGTATAAATGACTTTTCCGTAAACAGCGTTGCACAATTTAAAGCAATTTAATTTCTACAAGGTGGTGTGTTATATGTATTAGTGTTGAATGATATGTGTGGATCAGCAGCTTCTGCTGTGCATGCAGAGCGGCAAATTTTAATAAATATTAATCCGTACCTGCAACAACATGTAAAGCAGCCATATACAGTACTGTAAATATCTTTGAAGAAGTAAAGTAGAAAGGAGTTCCATCCACAATTTGTTTAAGTCACTGTATCTTAGTTGCTCTAATACTAACTTAATCAGGTAGTTTTTGCCAGGTCTATTTGAACTTTATACTATATACTTTATTCTTTTCCTTCTCACCCAAGGACACTGTTGACTTTCTGTCTTGGTAAACAAATACTGTAGCTCCATAAGCATCATGAGTGCTGTCATTGAAGAGCTCTGCTTCAGTGTCACAGAGTTCTATCTATCTTTTCGGGGGTCCTATCATCCCTGACCTACAATCAGGACGTCATTTCCTCAGTCAGGTACGCCAAATAAAATTTCTGTTAACTTGAACTTCTTCGCCATGTCAAATTAATTAGAGTTTGATAGAGCTACCGAACTCAAATATGAAATATTAGGGAAATAGCAGAAAACAAATACTGTGCATACTTCCTTGTAATCCTCAAATAGTTGTCTTCACTACTATACAGTATAAAACGATTTCTGTTTTGTACTGAGGATGACTATTATGATAATTATGATACAGTAGCTTCTATTTAGAACTAAATTAGAAACTTAAAAGTCGGCATTGTCTTCCTGTGTAGAAAAATGTGAGAAAAGTCAAATAAACTGTATAGACCAGTCGACCAGATACACAAGAGGAAACTAAGGTGAGGTTCTCATTTAAATCTGAGAACAGATGGTTCTAATGGTCTTGGAAGTCTGAAACAAGCCTCCCAGCCTTTTTGCAAAACCTACAGTAGATTCATTCAGGAAATGCTGAATGAAATTTTTAGATCAATTAGCTACTAAAACCTAAATGATCTTCTGGCAAAAAATTGCTTCCCTTGTTTGCAAATGTTGTGATCTTTTTGTAACGAACAGTTCTTTCCGGACCCTATGCGGACGACACATTCCGACGGAATGGGGAAACACTGGGGAAACGTCATGCAGGAAAACGGGGCTGAAGACAGGGGGGCGTGTCCAAGGTGCGCTGGTGCACGGGGGAGGTGTGGCCGAGGCGAACAATCCAAGAGTAATCCTTAGGGAA